TAGAGCCGAGACTCGCCTTAGATATGATGGACTCGTATTCAGAGATGTCTTACTTCGCGCTGTGTTTTTCAAACGGGTATTTCGTTTACGACATTCAGCTCTCGATATTGAATCTCTCATATAAGGGTCGGATCGAGATTATAGTCCACCACATCCTCACCATCTCATGTCTCTCATTCAGCACTTATCACAAGCAGTTCATCGGCTACTGTATGATTGCACTCGTGGTCGAGATCTCCAACACATTCCTCCACATCAGACAACTCTTGCTTTTGTTGGGATTGTCTGCGAGTAAAACCTATAGAATTAATAGTGTTATTACCATAAGTGAGTTCATTGTCACTACAATTGTCTGTTTGTTATAATTGTTTTAACTGTTGAATAGTGTCTCTGATTATAATGCGATTGTTTCCGTTGTCTTGGATTGTGTTTTGTCTTTATATGGAAAACGATTCCATGGGTTATATCTATTGGCTTTTGTCCACATTCTGTGCGGTTGTTATCATCGCTTTCTCTGTCTTTCTTGTCATTCAAGTGACGATTAAAGACTTTGTGAGAAACAAACGGATCTAATATACCATTTATAGCTAAAACTCATTCAAAACACATTTCATTATTTATTGATTACAATTTTTAAATACACTTTTATTTTGTTTTTTATTGAATATTAAGTCACTGCATTTGATTCATAAATAGTTTTAATTTAAACATTTTAATAAATTCGTTATCAAAACAAAAATGATTTATTAAAGCTATGATTACTTTTGAAAGACTTTTAAAGTCAGAATTTTTTACATTTATTTTAAATGTAAAATTTTGATGTCTTTTATAACCAAACAATTAACAAAAACTTAGCGTTCATTTCGTTTGAAAAGTTTTGCGTAAAATTAATATTTAATTCCAAGTTTTGAATTGAAATCAATTTAGTAATAGTTATGCAAAGAAATAAAAACTCTATGTTTTCTGTCAAAAATGATGATATATTTGCGGGAAATTGCGATGAATTTTGGTCTTTGTTTTGACAGTACTTTGAAGTCAAATGAAATTGCGGCCAATTTTTTAAATTCATGGTTTGAGTCCACTCTCCATAACAAATAGATTTGATGTAATTGTTTATGATTTGAGTTTTATTGCAAATCACACGACAGACAACACTAATCAGAACAACATATATTAAAATCTTTGGCAACATTTTTAGCATTTAATTAATTTTTAAAATTATTGGCGAATTATTATTATTGTCACGAAAATTAATTTTTTTAATAATAATGTTTTGCACGAATTTAATTATTTAAATTCAGTTTAAAATTTCACTTTTAAGTGAGTGTAAAAATGGTTGAGAGCGGAACCACCGTTTGGACGAAGAAGTGTTTGGCTCGCAATTTGCTGAGCGTAACGACCGGTGCTCTGAAACGCACCGATGATTATAGAGAGGACCGGATGACCGCTAAGGTTCGTAAAGCCATTGAAAAGACATCACAAGCGACAGATATTGAGGCAAATTTGAGACAAATGTTTGCTTCAAATGAACCGATCGTAAGCCCAGAAGACAGGAACACAATCGGCGGATGGATATACACATTGATAACCACTTTTCGATTCAGGAAATGCTGGGCACAAGTGGTCAGAGTGGAGACGATCCTCAAAGACACAGAACTGGTCGATGACTACAAAGAGCTGATCGCACGTGAAGTCGATATCGTCGCCCTTTTCTACGAACAGCCCGACGATCGCCCGGCAATTGAGGCCACTTTGAGTGAGCGGTTGAATGAACGGCAAGTCTTTGTGGACACAAAATTGGCAGAAAAGGACATTTCAGAGACAGATCTGTTGCTGTTTATCACTGGCGATGAAATATTGAATGCAAACAATGAGTGCCCGACTGTTCCCCAATTCACACTCCGCCCAAATACCCGTTTCGACCACATGGAGAGTCAAGCGACCCGAGAGGTGTACAAACAAATGGCTAAACAATATTTCATTGACTTAAATACACGGATTGGTAGGTTGAGGGTCGGAGGGGCGCCGCCGGACAGTATTGAGCTTCGAGTGCTGAGTAGACAGCATTATTGGGCGGTCGAGACAATGCGGGTATTGTTTACTCAATATAGGGCACCCGTCGTGACCGAGTAGTGACCAAAGAATTATAGAATTATATGAAATATTTACAATAAAAGATTAAATGTTTCAAATCTATGTTAATTAGTATTTATTAAAAGCCGAAGTCAGAGGACACGGCTTTTATTATGTATACCTCGGGATCCACTGGTATTCCCAAAGGCGTGAATATATCGCACAAAAACTTATTGATAGCCTTTAAGTGGTTTAGCATTTTGCCGGAGACGACGTCTCTTTCATTTATGATAATAAAAATAAAATCCATTTTGTTTTCATTTGAAACTCTTCGGTGCCGTCAATGAAATCAAACTTAATATAATGACAGTGCGATTGATTCAAATCCTCGGAGATGTGAATCCGTATAAAAAGTTAGAAAAAGTTTAATAAAATATCAAAACGTATATATTGTCACAATACTTACTAAATTAGTGCGAGCTCATTTGTAAATTTACGCTATTTTAAGTTTAATAAATTATATATTGTAATTAATCATTAAATCAATTAAATCTTTAATTTAAAACTGAAAATTAGTCAATTGAATAATAATTTTTAATTGATATGTTTTTGTGTAAAATATTATCATTTATTAGCAAAAGTAAAGTCATTTAATAAATTTTTGAAAAAATTACTTTAACTTTTATCTTTATATTTAACAAAACTTAAAATTTTATAATGAATTTAGTAATTAGCGTAATGTGTATCGCAATTGGTAATCACACGGACATTACGGGTAGAGATTGTGGGCTAAGATATGTGTCAAATAGTCTTGTAATTCAATACCCGAAGCAGTGTTTCCAAAACTATGTGTCGTCCACAAGGATTGTCGTCGACTTTATCGCCAATCCATTAGATCTGAGCGCAAATATAAGCAGAATATATGGCGGCAGGAATGTTGTGGTGGGAGAATCACCATGGACTGTATTTATTATATCAGATTCAGCTACGTCTGCATATCGTTATGAGTGTACCGGAAATATAATTAATAGCCTATGGATTATAACAGCAGCGCATTGTAATTATAAGTAAATTACATGTATTAAAATGTAATGCATTGCTTGTAATTCATAATTGATGTCCCAAAAGGAAAAGCACAAAATCCGATCACTATCCCCGAACCCGGATATTCGCGGGCAATAACTTGCGTTCGGGTGGCGGACAGACCGTATGGGTGGACACCGTTCACAGAGAGCCCCGGTATCTGAAGGGAATTCGTCGACACGATATCGCACTCTATAAACTCAATCGACAAATCAATTTTACGGATACTTACAATTTGTTTCAATATAAGGCCCAAACAATCTGTTTGCCCGCATCCCAACCCATTGTGGGTAATGCCAAGGTGTCGGCCGTTATGTTTGGTTGGGGTTTAATGTACTCAAAGCCAGGGGAGGAGCGAGAGTCTAATGTTTTACAACGCGGGGAATTTGTCGTCCAAAAGTGCGGTAATTTGTATTGCAGTAAATATAATAGGAAACAACAGACCGCTCGTGGCTGTAAGGTATGCATGAGTTTGCTATAACTTTAACTGTTATTTGAACAATAAATTATAATTTTTCATTTGTTTGTCAATTGTTTGACCCAAAGGGTGACTCCGGCGGCGGTTTAGTCCAGTATATCGACAAAGAGAGGACGAGAGCCGTATTGATAGGAATTAACGCATATCTTAAGGGCTCAAATGAATGTGACACTAATTTAACACAAGCCCAATGGGTTCCCGTTATTGATTATATTCAATGGATTCGCGATACTATTGCCAATAATTAACATTAATTTTATGTTTATCAAATTTACTAATTATGTCATATAATTTACAGCTAATATAATTAGTCATCTTATATAATATGGTACAATAAATAATATGTAACATTTAAAATAAAATATATACTGAAAAATGTATTATAAATTCAATATTAAATATAAAAAA